TTTCTTTAGAAGACATGATATAAAAATGGTTACCCTAACGAAACAGTATCTTTCCCTGGGACTCTCCTTTTTTAGAGAGTCATAGCACTCACTAATATTCGCCCTTTTTTGAGGCCCTGTTTTGGATGTTCCTTCAAAAACTCTGTTACCTCTTGGTTTCTGTAAATCTGTCTTTCACACAAGCAGAGTAGGGCTTGGCTTCTCAGAGCAGCGCTTGGCAAGCACACAGGCAGGAAACGCAGAAGGGAATGAGTCTGTCAGACTCATTTTCTTCTAGTTCAAATGTTTATTTCAGATTCGGGAGGAAGTGAAGTGGTTCCTTTCCATTTCCTCGTCTCTGGAACCTGCGAGTTGTGTAAGGCTTAGAGAATGGTGCTCTACTACATATCACACTCCTTGGCTCACAGATGGAGAGACTCTTCCCAGAAACCCCAACTGAATAGACCAGAATGCATAGCTCTCCAAACCCTCTCTGGACTGTCTCTTCTGGGTTTAACCTGGAGTCTTGAGCCAGGCAACTGAGAGCAATGATAAGGRCTTAAGTACATCCTACACCTGCTCCCCAGGGGCAAGACCCATGTCTCAACTGACATTAGTCCCTAGCTCTGCCACATGGCACACCTGAGGCTACTCTCAGGAAGGAAGGTCTGACCTAACTGTGAAAACCACAGTGGGATCTGATCCTAAGCCTACTTTCTTAGGTTCCTGAGACTTATTGCATCCGACATCAGGTTAACATTTCAACAGCAAAACTTAAAATGTACCTGATTTGGTAATGAGCTGATTTCAAACTTGAACATGCTGGCTTTTCCAATCCACACCAACTTCTCTAATTTTTTATTTTTTTATTTTTTAAGCATCAAGTTATCTCACGGCACTCACCAGCTAGGCTCTGCAACTTGCTTYATTGTCTATACAATTGACGAGATCATTTTTAATGTAATGTCAAATGAAGACCATCAGAAACCAGACTAGAAAATCTTGTGGTAAGTTTTCTACTAAATTCTAACAGATGTGCCTGCCTCAAACTTTAGGGATCAGGACTGAAGCATAATTTTAGGAACAAATTACTTGCTGAGAATATTAATAGACAGAAACCTTCTTCAGCAAAGGTGACCCTTTGACATTTAACATAGATTTTCCAGCAATTGATAAAGAAGCCAAACATTGTAAGTGTGTCAATTATGGTTTGTTTAGGAAAGTTTCCAGGACAGAGTGCTTGATCTAATCACATTGGTTTTGTCAAAGAGTTTTAAAAGATAAAAAACTGACTCATTATCTCTACTCAGAGTTCAGACTTGAAAGATTATATTATTGTTTGGTAGCTACTGATCACAAAGTACAACTTACACACTAATTTATACTTACACATTCCCTAGTACAAACTCATTTGTATGCTACATCTTGCATATTCTAGATGAACTCCTGAAATTAATTAACCCTTTCACATTTTGGAATTCCCTCCTGACATCCCTTTCTTATGGCACACGTGAGCTAGAGTGAATCAGAGACATATTACATTAGATACAATTCCAATATTCATTTTAGAAACCAAAAATAGTGAAAATATAAATTGCACTGTCATCTGATTTTTAGAAATCCTCTCTACTACTCACTGATTAAATAAGACATACTAATTGTAAGTAAAGCAAAATCAAGAAAAATCAGAATGAAGGGAAGAAGAAAAGATAAACATTGTAAAGGTCATAATGAGACAAACATTTCTACTTGAAGATACTTTCACTGAAGTACACCATAAGCAATCTATGCCAAGTCATGTACTTCTCACTCACAAAATTATATTGTATCAAATTCAAATTTGTTACAACTGCCATGTACATTAAATCAGTGATAACGAAACTGTAACTCAATATCTGATCTAGTGAAACAGCAACCAACATTAGCTCTCAGCCACATGAAGACAATCTCCAATGCCATTACTGGTGTCAGCTAAACCTCAGCAAGTTTGTCTTCTCCAGCCATTTTTAAATAAATAGGTGACTATCTCAATTAGGAGATCTTGAAGGGAGTCTCTGAGATGAGGCAATTTTGTTGTTCATTCTCAATACCCTGCATTTGCTGTACTTAAAATAGATACTTGTACCAATGTCCTTTCTATTACCCGGAGGAGAAAAAAAAAATCACATAGACACCAGTCCCTTTTCTTTCAGCTCACAGAGAAGCAACTCGATCCAACCAGTGTTGAAACCTGAGTAGGTCACTGTACACCACGATAAAATTCCCTAATCCCTGAGCCAAATCTCCCTAAGGGGGGCCTCCTCCTGATCCTCCACTTCCCGGGCTGACTTTTCCATTCGCTCTCTCCTCTTTCCCCCTTTCATTTCCCCTACCTTCAAGCCTTGATATGTGATCCGAGGTGGGGGCTCAGGTTTCCGTTTTTACAGCTTAGGCCGCGCTAGCTGTATACATTCCTTTCTTTCTGCCGGGCAGTGATTACTTACCAGGGCTTAGTTTACACTGGTCCAGATGAAAGCCGTTCAGATGAAGGCAAACACAGCCAGGCAGCTCCAGCAGCACCAATATGAAGCTGCACAAGGCCACATTGTGTTCCCGGTGACATTTTGTTGCACACATTTTTATACAGGGCAACCAACTTGTTATGTTACTCTACACTTCACATTGGGGAGCTGAAGGGTAATGATACCAGGGAATTCAGGGAGGAGTTTTGTTGCTGTAGTTATTAATTTTAAAGGCAGAAAAATATTAATGATTTGCTCCCCCCCCCAAAAAAACTTTGACTTTGAGCAACCACCTTTTTAAAAAAGGCTTTTGGGTACGAGTATATTAGAGGAATGCCTACAAAACAATTCCACTAGACATGCTGGCATGGTGTGAATGGAAATGACTGAAAATTTTGGCCAGGGGTCTTACACAGTGTTCCAAACTAGAGAGAAAATACCAATCCTACAGGTATTTTGGATTATTTGCTGTGCAAAACTTCTTGTTTAATGCTACTTTGGATGGAAATGGTGAGGATTAGAACTTCAAATAGTAGATGGTGATTTGAAAGAAAAATAACATTTTAAAAAGAGGAAATTCTGTTCACCAAGGTTAATTCCATACTTAGTCCTGCAGCACTGGCTAAAAATTGTGTAATTTTTCCCCTTCATACAATGTTGTTTTTGTTTCTTCCTCACCAGTTCAGACAAACATCTGTTATACTGTAGAAGGACAACTATCTCCCAAACCACGGAGTGCGCCTGCAGCCAAAGTCAACAACACGAGCCCAAAGTATCGAGCACAGTCAGCCTTTATATCCAGCCGGGATAACATTTCACATGTTTTGATTAAAATTAGCTAATTTGTAATTCTAGAACCTATGAAACTTAAAAGCTGCCATCCATATAGATCACATTAGGCAGCKTTTTAAAGGGCCAGAGCATACTGTGATTTCCTAGTGGCCTTCACCTCTGTCCTCTTCCCCCACTCCAAATTTAAAACGAAATGGAAAAGTAATCTGGAAATACAGGACAGGAGGGAAGGGCAAGAATGGTTATTGTAGACTGAATTCCACCCTCATGGGAAGAAAACAACTTCTATCTTTTTTTTTTTCTACCTTAACTATCAATGGTGGTTTCCATTACAAGGAATAGCATTGATTTCCAAGGCAAATCTCCTTTGGACTGATACTACACTTCTTGCTTCCAGATACTAAGTTTCTCACCCTGAAATAAAACCCTAATTTCAAAATTTAAATGCTGCTGACATTTCTGGAAGGAAGGTAAAGCTAAGCATATACACCTAGCTACACACGTACACACACACACACATTCACACAGAGCAGAATGTATAACCGTTTGTCCCTTCTAATCGTGGGCTTCACACGAGGCATTCTTATGGAATATACGTGTTCTAATCAAGAAGATGTCAGAACGCAATAAATGAAACTTGCATACTGTTTTTATCTAGTTCATCTTTTAAATACAAACTTAACCAAACCTGCCCAAGTTACCTGGCAGTATTAAGCAGAACATGGGGAGCATCAAACCTGCTACTTTTTTGTAACTCACAGAAAAACAGACAAATTTAAAAAAAAAATTAAGAGAGACTCGTAAAATCAACATGGAATAAAATGCTATCCCAGGCAAAGCCTCAGCATGCAGAAAATAAGGGAATGGGGGCGACGAGTGGGGTCCGGAGCTGAGCGGTGTTCTTTTACAATCGCTTCTACACGAACAGCTGGAGCGCCAGGCGGCTGCGCTCACCACCTCTGGAGCACCGCTGGTCTGGCGAGGAGCCCGGCCTCGCCGAATGGACTCCGGCTGGCCTTCCCGAACAATGGGCAGGCGCCCTGCGAAGGCCGCTCTTCGGGGCTCGCTGGGGTCTGGTTAACTGGGAAGCCAGGCGTACAGAGGCTAGCGAGAGGCGGAGGTAGCGATGGAGAGGCGCGGGCGGGGGCGAGCGAGGCGAGCGGGACGTCAGGACAGCCCTCAGACCCTCACAGCTCTGGCCGCAACTCGCCCGGCACTGACAGCCCCTACACTGTCGCAGCTGGAGACTTGGGGCGAAGCGGGATCCCTGAGCTTAGGGGTGAACCGCGGAAAGGGTTGAACTCCAGCTCTCCCAGGGTGCCTCGGCCGAGCGGCTCTAACTTTGGAGAGGCCGGAAGGACGAATCCCGAGGAAGGAGTAAAAACTACACTGCTCACTAGGAAAGCCTCTTCACCATTCCCACCCACCACTTGGACCCTGGTCCCCTCCTCTCTGAAACGAATCTGTGCCAACCTGGGGTTTGTAAGGTCAAACAGTATGTGGTGGCCCCCCACCCCCCGCCCTGCTTCGAATCTGAGGCTGGCAAATTTCGGGGATGCAGCCCGCGAGTTGACCTCCGCTTTGCACCTGGAGGAGGAGCTGAGGCGTTCCGGGCATCCTACGGTAACTGACAAGCGCKTCCCTGTACCCCCGAATCCATACAACGGCCCAAAGGGAGCGGACCGAAGAAAGGGCTCCGTCTCCCCAGCCCCCAAGGTCCAAAAATACCTTCATTTCCTCATTGATCTCCCTTTTCACTGGGTGAGCCGGTTTCCTGCTCCTTTTATTTTCCGGAGGTCTCCCTTCTTTCTCCATTTCTGCCATGTTTTTGTGTCTGGTTTCTGTGGAGATGAAATGGCTGCTGCCGCCGCCGGCGGTGGTGGTGGTGGTGGTGGTGGTGGTGTTGGTGGCGGTGGCGGTGGTGGAGGTGGTGCTGATGGTGGCAAAGCTGGCGGAGGTAGCGGTGCTGGCGGGGCCGGGGCTGGGAGGGGGGAAAGGCAGGCGCGGGAGAAGCGGGGTCTCTTCTAGCGGCGGAGAACGTCAGTGGCTGTCAGAAGGAAAGGTAGCTCGGGGAGTCTCGGGGATGCCGCCGCCGCCGCTCCTGCTCCTGCTGCCGCCGCCGCCACCACCACCAACGCCGCCAACGCCGCCGCTGCCCGTGCCGCCGCCGCAGCTTCTGTCGCTCCCGCCGCCGCCGCCGCCACCGCCGGGCTGCATCCTCGGTGCCCCATGGAGTCGTCAGCCATCTTCCGTCTCTCTGTCCGTCTGCATGGGCGAGGGGAACGAGGGCCGGGCGCGGAGAGAGCTGCTCTGGGCGTGCGTGCGTGGATGTGTGTGTGCRCCCGGGAGAGCGCGCCAGCCCCGGCGCCCAGCGCCTCCCGCGAGCCGAGCCGGGGGCGGGCCGGGGGCCGGCGCGGGGAGGAGGAGGGAGCAAGGGAGATGGGACAGGGAGGGGGCCGGAGGGAGGGGGCCGGAGGAAGGGGGGAAAGTGGGGGGGCTAGGACAGCCCCCAGCTCCCGAGCGGGCGTGGCTTCCACCGTCACTGTATACGCGGATGCCGCGCGGCTCCGGGGGCTGCTTGCGGCCGCCTGTTCATCAGCGGCGGGCACCAGCGGATCGCTGCGCCCCTCGCGGCCGCCACCTCTCTGCGACGACCCACGCGCGTCAGCGCCCGCTCAGCTCCCAGCTTTCTTCCGTAACTCAGTGATGCGGGATCTGATGGGTTTGGAGTTGGTTTTTTGAGCTCGCCCTAGAAGCTGCTAAGGAAAAATGAATGGGAGTGAGGGGAGGAGGTTGAGTGTAGGAGAGGGCGCGGGGACCTGAGGTCGCTGAGCTAGAGGGCCGCTTACCCCAGGAAAAGACCGACAGAGCTCTCTGCCTCTAGACTATAGCGCCAGGGTGTTGGGCGGAGGATGGGGATGGGAAAGGAATCCCACAGCCCTGATCCACCCTCAGATACCAGGATAGTATGTCCTCCTTCTGGGGACACCGCAAAGCGTGTAGAGTCCCTTGGAGAGGTCCCAGCGCCCAGTCTAAGCGGCCCCCAAAGCTGCGCTGCTCCCTCCCACTGCTCTTGCAAGGTAGTTTTGCCTTTCAGAGAACCACTCAGAAGTAGGGAATTTCGGCCTCCAGTCCCCAGATCTATCCCTCCTCCCTTCTCTCCTCACCTACTACCCCTATTGCACAGTCACGCACGTTTGCCCTCCTACAAAGTAACAGCTTTTACCCTGTGACCCAGAGCTCACTCTTATCGGGGTCCCTCGGATGTAACCCAAAAGTTGGGCTTAGCAGGAGCTCAAGGTCGGGCATAAGATCACTCTCTCCAGAATCCGACCGATCTCGCCACTCCCAGCGGGACCCTCTCCTCCTCTCTCCCCACGACTTCGGTCTGCAATTTCGAACCCGTGCTAGTTCTCTGTACGTCCAGGCGTGCCACTTTTGGTCCCCTCCATAAACGCCTAGGGCCACGTTCGGATTGCGTCCGTCCCTGTCTCTGGATTGAGGCATTGGTATGAATGGTTTGATGAGGCTTCCGTGAGACACCCGGCCCTTAGCTCCTACAAGCTACAGGGGACTCAGTGAGGCTCCCAGCTCAGCTTTCCCGCGCCGCGACACTTCGTAATTACCTGACACCATGTGATATGGGGGTGTCCATTGTTCCACTGCTTGTTATTGTAGAGTGTTCATTATGACAGTGATGGAACTTAAAATTACACATTTTTAAGTACTTAAAAAATAGAATGAATTCAGTGTGGGGGTATGAGTAAGCTTTCCATTAAAATCTCAGTTCGGCCTGTCAAATGAGTCTCATTCTGGATATTAAATTGCCTGATTTGCATTTTAGCATTGTTCTGTTTCTTAAACGTCTAATTAGATATATTTAGGGGCATACCCATCCGGGCTGAGCACCTCCTCGCTGCTTGTTTTGCGTTTTAGCATCATTGTGTTTTGTACCCGCCAAATTCCAAATATTTGGGAGTGTACCCAGAAAAGCTGAAAACCTCCTCTTGCCTCTTCTCTGCCCTGGATCTGGGGAGCGAGGGAAAGCCGCATCCGGATCCGCGTGGCTCTCCAGATCCCAGTGAAGCCAGGAGGCCTGAGCTAGCCGGGCGGAGCCAGCTCCTGTCCTGCAAGGGGTTCACGCGAAACACTTGCGCCCAAGGAAAAGTTAAAATCTCTGGGACGATAAGCAGGGACGCCAAAGAGTCAAGAAAGGAGAATTAAAGAGGTTTTAGGGAGCTGCGCGACAGAGCGTCCTCTATTCGCGATTTTTCCCAGTAGCCTCTGGGAGCATATCCAGGTACACCCAGCTTGCGAGCCCCAAGTCCTCTGGCTGGGTTTTGCATCAGCCTGTGGAGGACTTAACCAGGATCCGTGCAGCGAAAGCGATGCACAGAGAAGCCCAAACCCGTTTGCATTAAAGCTCCCCGCCCTCTCCTGGACCGTTAGCACATTCCTGAGTGTTGGGGGGGGGGGTTACTAGACGGAGTATCTCCCCAATACTGTTGGTGGGAGGAGGAGAGACAAAGGGAGTCCTTAGGGTTTTATAAACTGAACTTCACCCAAAACATCTAACAGATGACGTGTGGGTTGGAATTAGTTTTCTCTATGTTGTCCTCTTCTTATTTAATGAGGGAAGTAATAAGAACCCTTGGCGGGGAACTTTTGAATATTCCAAAACCGCGGAAACATACGTTGTAAACTGTACACAAAAAGAAGGTTTTTTTTTTCTTTTTCTTTTCTTTTTTTTTTTTTTTTYTGGAAACATGTTTAAGTCCTCTCCATTTCCTTTGGTGCCAGAACCATTACAATTGATTCACTGTTGTTCAGCTGATATCAAATAACAAGTTATGTACCCTAAGCCTTAAGATACAGTTTCAGGAGTTAAGAATAAAGTAAACAGAAAAAGTGAACTATAGCTCAGAGGTATACTTAGAGGCCGTTAAACTTTCTTTAGAGAAAATGACTTTCAAAAAATGRTTCTGGTATTTAATAAAAAAAATAATGACATTAATCAGCCACCTGTTCCTTTGCAGGTAAACTGAGGTGAGGAGGGACATCTTTAGAAAATATACACGAGGAAAACTTTTATTGTAGAGTGAACTTCAAAACTTATATGATCATTTCACATTGTTAATCATGCTAGGCCTTTTCAGACATACTATAGGTGAAGACAATTATAAGGAAAGTTGCTGCTTCATGAATTTAGAATTTGGAGGAAAATAATGTTCCCTGGATAACTTCATAGTTTGGAAGAATAAACCGTTTATGTTTAGGAACAATATATAAACATATCTTAGACACACTTTCGCTACTGTGACATACTCTTATGTTCCTAGTCACTAAGGCATTTACTCATATCCTTTTCCCCTCTCCACCTGCACACATACACATACCACATTAAAAGCTCCAAGTGTACAATTCTCAATCTTCCTTCTACTACCTCTGCCAGTCATCAAGATGAGTACAGAACTGATCTTTCAAACATTCCTTGAGTACATTGTTGTATTCTTTTCCTATTCAAAGCTTCTCTTGATGTTTGTTATAATTGCATTTCACCTGAAAAACACATCAGAGGAAGATTTCAGGTTGACTGCTTTTGAACCCTTTACCTCTCTATGTGCTTCTTGTTATCTCCAAGAACACTTCACTTAGAGACCCAGTCTTAATGTCTAGTGAGAAATTAGTAAATGGTTGCTGATAAATTAGTTTGTCCTACAAAACTCATTGAATAGGTTTTCCTATATATTATTTGAAATTAATGTTCATCTTGAACAGTCTGTGATCTAGCCAAAGAGGGGGATTTAAAAATGTGAAATAATTATGCTGCTGTATACATTTGAGGAATTATCTTACTTAATATTCATAAAACTCTGAAGCCAATTCTACTGTCTCCATCTCACAGATGAAGAAACTTAAGCTGATACAAGCAACTCAGACACAAGCTAGTAAGTACTGGAATTTGAATTCATAACTTCCTGTCCTACTCCAGCATTGGAGATCTTAACACTTTGCTAATCTGCTTTAATTAATTCCTTTAACAGTCTGTATTTTATTTAATCTAAGGTTCATTTTTTAACATTCTAACATCTTTGAGGTTAAGATGCATATAACACTAAATTTTTATAATTATAAATGATGTCTTCTCAATGGTATATAAAATAACAGCACATTTCCCAATCAGTGGAGTATTAGGTTTCATTGGGCTATGCTGCAATAATAACAAGTCTTTGGAAAATCTCAGAGACTTAAAACAACAAAGTTTTGTATTTCTTGCTCAAGACAGTTAAGGATCCAGTGTGTAGCTCTCCAGGGCAACCATCCCCCATGTGATAGCATGGTGCCGAACTTCCATGCCAACATGTGTTGCCCTAGTGGCTACCCCAGCGGAAGATAGAGCTGGGGACTTCACCAGCAATTATATGTTCCAGCCCAGCAGTGACATGTGTCACTTCTTCTTCAGTCTATTGACTACAATTAGTCACACAGACATGACTAACTCCTAGGGAAGCTGGGAAGTTTAATCTTTACCAGTCTCACAAAACTGGAGACAAAAATTAAATTAATTATTAAATTCCTTAATTCATTAAATATGATAATTAAGATTCATTAATATAAATATCAGATATCTATTTTCTCAAAATCAATGTACAGTGATTGCTGGGCTTTGTTATATTCCATCTAAAATATACTTTCGAAATCTATGCCCATGTTTAATTGTAAAGAATAAAATTCTATAATCACTTTAAAAAATAAAGTTTAGAAACAGTATAAATATAATGCAAGGGTTTTAACAAGGATATATAGATGAGCTTCTAGGGATCTAAGACCTCCGGAAATTACATACAAAACTTTCAGTAACATTTTTTTCTCCTGGGGAATGAGTAAATATCTGTCATCAGATTCTTATTTGGAGTTTATGATTTATTCTTTCATTGATTCAACAAATATATATTGAGAGCCCAGGCACTATTCTGGGTGCATGACAGACAAGTTCCCAAATCTCATGAAGCTTATAGTCAGGAAAGTAGACAAGCAAACTAGTAACAAGGAAGAGAACATCAAATCCAGATAGGTGAAATCAAAAGACAGTGTTAATAGAGCATAGGGCTAGGGGGTCTGCTTTAGCTAAAATGGTCATAGAAGACCTCCATGAGAAAAATTTTGACCTGAAACAGAAAAGATGAGAAGGAGTTAGCCATGCAGAGATCTTAGAATCCTGGAGGAAAAGTGTTCTGGTCAGAATTTTAAAGGAGCTGAAGAATAGATGTTTCTCAGCATGTTTGAGAAATTGAAAGTATCTTTAGTGTAGGGAATGAAGAGAGTGGTAGAAGTAGTGAAAGAGGAATGCAGAGACAGCTTATAAGGAGCCTGGAAGTCATGGTAAAGAATCAGGGTTT